CAGCAGGAAAAAAGTGGGAGAGGGATGGGGCAGCAGAGAGAAACTGTTGTGTAGTGACCGTGCACTCCCCACTCTCTTCTGCACTGCCTACAGTGGGGGTGAGGAGTCTGGGGAGAAGCAGTGAGGTTGAGCTTGGGAAAAGGGGAAGGAAAAGTGTTATTTTAATATTTGTCTCCGTTTCTCACTAACTATCAATTTTAATTGGTAAAAAACTAAACTAATTTTCCCCAGGCTAAGTCTCTTTTGCCCATGGTAGTAACTGGTTAGCAATTTCTCTGTCTTTCTCTCACTCATGAGTTGTCACATCCTATCTTCCCTCTCCTGCCCTACTGAGGAGGGCAAATGAGTGAGCAGCTAGGTAGGTGCTGGTTGTTTGCCACCACAGGTAATGCACTTTCATCATGTTACATTAGGTAGGCTGATGCACCATAATGCACTTTGTGAACATTCCACTCTGGTGTCATTTTAGCCAGATAATAAAGAGTAATAAATACAGCACAGGACAAAATAAGGCAAAGGTCTGAATCAATAAGGCCGTAACAGCCATCTAGCTCAGCTGTCTGCAGCAGCACTGGTAGTGGCAGACCAGCTTTACTGCTTGAATCTTGGTCGTGTGCATCTATGCCACAGTGCCCTGCACCTATACTTAAGGTAAATGAATACAAAGCTCCTATAATATCAGAATGGGTTCCGACAGAAATCATCAGGACTTGAGTAAAGTATTCTCTCACTTGCACTCCATCCAAGTCTACAAAACAGCTCTGGCAAATGAAAACTCTTTTCATTTTCTGTGTCCCTGTGATGCATAGTACTTACCAAAATATGGTTCATTTGGGCATCCTTTCAAGCGCACCCCCTTGTGCGTGCATTCAATCAGAAAATGCCTTACAAGCTCATTTGACAAATCTCCAACTGTGTTGAAAAAGAAAAAGAAAGCTCATGAAGAGAAGCAATGAACAGACAACAGTCTCTCAAATTAGCAGGTCTTTATGAAGCAGTTTTCCACATTACCACCAAATCTTTTATATACAGCATCCAAAAAATACATTAGAACTGGTCTGCTGCAAGGTTGCAAGCTGTAGTATAAGGGCCATCTTGCAAAAAAACAAACAAGCAAATAACTCACTTCAGACAATGAGAGGAAAAAGTTTTATAATCATAAATGACTGGCAACCAAATATACACCCATGCCCAAAAAGTCCCAAGTGTGGTCCCAACTACAGATAGGAACAGAAATTTGGAAAACAAATGGTTAGGAATTCTGATGCATTGGCCCATTAGAAGAACTTCTATCCAATGTGGCAAGGGAGTAGAAGTATGATAAAATACTCAGATTTCTAGTGACAGTTCTGCTTGCAGAACTTTTCCAGAATAAACCAATAGATTTATATACACAAAGGTACAGATGCCAAGTCTCTCAATGAATTTGTAAGTTTTAAAATGTTTTCAGTTTTATGCTAAGCCTTTGCTCCTGAAAACAATCAATTACATGAAACATTCTGACATCACTAGATTTTTAAGGACAGTTATATCTCTCAGGAATCTAGGCCAAATCAAAATTGTTAACTTGGATTTAATGAGGAGATTCAAAGCCAAAGAGGCATAAAAAAATTCCCTTGAGATTTAGCATTATTTTATAAATATATATACATATGCACGCATATAATTAAGACAACTTCATTATTTCTTGATAGACTGGTTCACAGTAGTTCACACCTGACTCCAAACTGAATCTCACTCCAAGTAAATAAAGCATTATTCCATAACAACGGGACAAAGCTACCCAACCATTCAAACCTTAACAAAAGTGCCACAAACACAAATGTCCCATTTGACTCTGATCTACCAGCCACAGTCCAGAAAACACATGACATCAAGGGCTGACTTTCAGGCTAATAGAGAAGAACACATTAATCTGGACAGCTGAAACTTCTATGCAAGCAAATATTGCAAAGATGACCTTTTCAAACAACTTGCTGTTTGCCCTTATGCTCTCACAATATTAAAAATAAATTACTAAAAGGGTATGTGGGAAGGGGAAGCCCAGGACAAGGAACCCTGCAGGAGACTGAACAAATTTGTGCCTTCTGGGATGAAACAGTGGGAACCAAAAAAGCCATATATCACAGTGTGAGAAGCGGTGCTACAGTCTCAACTAGAATTTTCTCTTATTACCACTTGCCTGTGGTACAACTAACAAACAGGCTCTTAAAGGCTAGGAGAGTTCGAACTTTCACGTCTTCCTGGACTTCACTGGTCTGATGATAAAAAAAAGATTACTAAAAACACCCAGAGCCACTCTCCATTTGCCTCTTTGTTGTTGCTATCATCACCCCAGTGCACTTGGTGTCTTCTTTAAATGAGGCATTGCAGTGCTTCTGCTGATGTTTCCAGGCAATAAAAAGAAGGATTATGTGACAATTCTTTATTAGAAATTCACTCAAGATACCAGATGAAGTGTACAGAACTTGAAAGTGTTACTGTAATAGAGGTGGACTGCTAACCTTGCCACAGAATAAGCATGAAAACTTAAAAAAACCCAGCCAAACAAGCAACAGCCAAGCAACCAACTAACGCCAGACAAAACCACACTTCCATAACCACAACACCAAGAATCACTGCTCTCCTGTGATCTCAGTTGCTTACCTCACCAGGCACCATGTACTAATGAAACACAACAAACTTTGTATGGTTTGTTAAATAACAAATAGAAGGCATACAGTACCTTTCTTGTTTAACTGCAGCACTGAAGGAGGTGGTGTAGCAACTTTCATTGCTAGCCCATAGGCTCCCCGGAAAGAATGGCTGTCTCGAACAATAAATGACCCAGGCTCCTTGTCCTTGAGAACAGCAATGGCTGCAAGGGATTCCAGGAAAGAGAGAGAAAAACAGTTCCAGAACAATGCACACACCCAAAAATTACAGAAGTGCAAATCTAGGAGACTAAAGGAAGTAAGACCCTTTTCTCTATCTCCACTGCTGTAAAAGAGAATACAATCAAGCGTATTTGGGGGGTCTGAGTAGAAACATCTTGTGCTAATCTCAGATTTCTCACTTACTTGAAGAGCAGCCTGAAGTAGAGATCGCTACTGATTTTTAAACTGAGAAGAACGGGCAGGTTCCACCAGAATCCCTACAAGCAGTGCAAGAGAAAACTGATTCCTGCTTACGTTTTGCCAACTTGTTAGAAGCATGGCAGACAGCACAGCTGTCTGTAATTCCCAGGCTGACTAACTCCCAGACAGCGCTGTTTTTCTTTTCCTATACAGCTTCAACAGGCAGACCAGATCCATTTTCATCCACCACCAAGTTTCTGTCCCTGCAAAGCAGCTGCACTCCCTTACTAGCTTTAAAGCAAGGGAAAGGATGCGACTATTTGCTCTCTGACTGTCCAAGCATTGAAATATTTTACAACTATATTCTGTGATCTCTGCTGGAAGTGTGATATAAAGTCACGGAGGAACCATGTGCAAGGAAGCTGCTCTTGCTTTGCGTGATTCTGCTGCAGTCTCTGAAATCTGGTAGCCTGAAATCTTAAACCCACTTTGAAAAAAGATTTAAGGTTCTTTGCACTTTTTGTTTTTCCTTAAACTTTTTGGAAATACTTGTGTTTGTTTCCAGAATTTCTAATGATCAGCAAGTCTTCAAAGAAACCCTGGAAAAAAAGCCCAAATTTGACCCTGGAGTGCTTAACTGTCTGTATACACAGAACATGGAAATTATGCATGTGTGGCATGAAGCCATATTTTGCAAGACCTGAGCAATGATGACATCATAAACACACATACACACACACAGACACACACACACACACTTTTTTTCCATGAAAAAAAGTAGTAACATAAGGAAAATGCAGACATAATTGTATCTCCTGTTTAAGTGAGTAAAGCAAATGCCTATATATTCTGTTCTATTAATCTGTCAGATGGTGAAGAAAGTAACTGTTTTCACAATGACCTGTCACGTGTTGAGAGGAGGAGGATGAACATATAAAACCCTGAAATTCAGCAGTACTTGCATAACACTTATAAAATCCACAGGGGGACAGTAGTCATTTGGCATAGAAGCAGTCCATTAAGCACAGGAAGAAAGAACAAGTGTTCCCCCTCCTCAGCAACTCTATCTTAAAACATTTTTTTAAAAGGAATTTTACTTGATAGGGTGAAAAGAGGCATACTAACAGGCTGGAAAGATTTTCTTATCATTTGTTCAAGCAGTTAGGTTTGAATTTCCTTTATGATCTACTCTCTGCTCTGGATTTGCATCAAGTCAGGACATATTTTTTTTCCACATTTGAAGACTCAGTTCTCATTATGGGTGGGGAGCAGACAAGGGTAAAGGGACTGCAGTGAAAGGACCACAAAAACATCATCAAAAGATGAATTAATAATCTGATTTCTATGACCTTCATTCCCCTGGGCTCATGTTTACTACTGCACTGCTAGAGTCACCCTCACCATTTGAGAGACTATGAACTAGACAGACACAGCAATTCATCGTTTGCCAATAGCTGAAGGCTATTTTGGTTTAGTGTGAACTTCCTTCCCAATGCAGAACTAATTCGTCACTTTTCCTTTCTGACAATCACATTTTAAGAATCCCTACTTAAAATCCTGTCATAACTCATTAAATACAATTCAGTATAGCTAAGTATTACAATATGGACACAAGGATGGACACACCAATTGCATTTGCGAACCACCCAACATATTTTATTTACGCATTGCTGCAGGAACAAGGTGTAAGTTTGTATGAATATATCTTCACATACATAGCAAAATCTTTCTCCATCTCATTCAATAATACATCTACATATAGATGTACTGTATCTGTATTGTACATCATAAAACTCTTGATCAATGGGAGTGTTATTTTGGGACCTTTAAGAAATAATATATATCACTTGCAATGAAATTCAGGCTACAGAACGACTGGTACATGAGGATGATTTTATGATGACTTCTAGCTAATTAACTATTCTCTGATATTTAGCATGGAATCACACAATGGTTTGGGTTGGAAGGGACCTTAAAGATCATCCAGTCCAACCCCCTGACATGGGCAGGGACACCTCCCACTAGACCAGGTTGCCCAAAGCCCTGTCCAACCTGGCCTTGAGCACTTCCAGGGAGGGGGCATCCACAACTTCCCTGGCAACCTGTGCCAGTGTCTCACCACCCTCACAGTAACGAATTTCTTCCTAATATCTAGTCTAAATCTACCCTCTTCCAGTTTAAAACCGTTCTCCTTCGTCCTATTGCTACCTGCCCTTGTAAAAAGTCCCTCTCCAGCTTTCCTATAGGAACTGGAAGGCTGCAGTAAGATCCCCCCGGAGCCTTCTCTTCTCCAGGCTGAACAGCCTCAACTCTCTCAACCTGTTACCTATGCAGGGAAAAACACATGGCTGAGATCACGCCAGAGCACCACACTTGTACTTGGAAGGTTTCTGAGGGCAGACAGTTTGGTATTGCATCACATAGATCTGCCATTCCAAAACCTGTAACTTTTCAGTAAAGTACATTTCCAGCAGCTACCAAAGGCAGATTTAGTTCAGTCCAGCTAATAAATTGTCTGATTAACTGAATATTTTTTAGTACTACTTGACTGCCCTCCACTCTCAAATTCAGCCTTTGTACAAAAATTATTAAGTGAGGATATGCCAGAATATGCATCAGTTGATATACCTTGTTCTCTTGAAATATCTGGCTTATACCAGAACCTGGATGTATCCTGGACAAATTTTACAGTCACATGTTTATCAGTTGTGTTTTCTGTGAAATAAAAGGGAAAAAAAGGTCAAGATATTTTTTAAATACAAAAGCATTTTTAACTCCTATTTCCAACTTCCAATCTCCAGATTTATTGAAAAAACTAATGACCAGAAATACAATCTAGAGAAACTCTGAACTGGTTTAGAACCAGCAAATACAATACCGTACACTAAGATACTGAAAGCATTCTTGAAGTTCCATTTTACAAACCTCATAAAATACGAAAAACTCTTACATTTATAAAGCTGTATTAAATGCAAAGCTTCTCAATGGGATCCAGTGAATACACATGCATGTTTTTAACTATTCTTGACACAAGCTTAGAAAGACACAGAGAGAAGCCAGCCTTTATTAAAAGAAGCTGGACTCTACAGCACTTGCTTGTAGTTTGGCAGTTCTAAAGGTAGGCTGCCCTTGGCTGACATTTAGGGAAGCGCAGAAGGAATTCTGCAGCCTTCAGTTCTCTGAATTACACATTCAAAGCCAATGAACTGATGCCACTTACTGCAAACACTCAAGTCCTCCATGCCATTTTCATTCCATTGTTTGTTTGGGTTTTTTTTTCCCCTCGCCACTTTTAAAATCCTCTACATGCTTTTTACTCATATAAAGTGTAATGTATTTTGCATTTCTCTGATGCAGAATTTACCTGGCACCGGGGAAGTGCTTAGCATTTTTGAGAAGTCTGGGAGGACATTCGGGAAGGGGATGCTGATTGTGCTTCCACTGTGGGGGCTAGAGAAGCCACTTGAAGAAGGTGACACGGAGGCAAAGGAACGGTCTCCTTCAGAGGACCTCTTTTTCTCTGGAAGAGGCGGCTGAGCATGTAGATTCCCTCCATGGTGCTGCTGAACTGCACTGTTCTGGCTAATGTGTCCAGCGGCCACTGTAAGAAAGTTTTGTGTCAAAAAGCCATTGTCCTCGGCACTTGCCACTGAAGAGCTCATGGTTTTAGGAGAGATGTTAGTATTGGCTACGAAAGTAGCTTGTTTCTCCTCCTGGGGGGAGCTACTGCCCATGTTGCCTCCGGTGTAGCTCAGGTAGGCCCGGGTACTGCTGCTGACAGCAGGTTCTTGCTGTGGCTCTGCTGGTGAATTCTCCAGGCTGCTCAGGGTGACAACTTGCAGTCCTGGAGTTTGGAAATGAGACATGAGCGAGACATCTTGTGCGGCATTTGAAAATTCAGAGGGTGCAAGGTAACCTCCCGGTGGCCTGCTGTTTCCCATTGAAAGCGGGAGCGATGGGGAAGCTTTAGGGCTGCTTTCAAGCCAAGGACGTTCTGCTGCAGAAGAGCTGTAAAAAAAAGCCAAAAATTGAAGACAAAAATAAAACAACAGACAAATCATTCCCTTAAAAGATCAATCTACAAGTAGATCATTGTGAGATGCAAAGGGAAGAAAGCTGTCATAAGATATATAAAAAAAGAAAGACCCCTTTAATTAAGAGAACTGTGGAAATGGATACCAGTAGATTTGAACAGATTGAAGCAGAAAGGCCATGAAGAAATGGAAGAGAAGCAAATGGAAGAAGACATCATTGCAAGAAAAAAAACAAACCCACAGCCGTAGCTATCTGCTAGATGAAATGAAAAATGACAGAAAAAAATATTTAGCATGAAGGGAACAAAATTTTCTAGA